ACCAAATAAAAAGGTATAAAACTTGAACCGAGCCAGTATTAATACCCAAATGAAGTATTCACCTCTATATCTGAAGAATTGGTACCAAATCTAAACTGAACCGAGAATCGGTATTCGAAATATTCGAACCGAGAACCAGGCCTAGATTTTACTATAATATTCAAAGCAATAACATTATTGTAGAATTTCTATAATTAAATTTCTACAAGTTTATATATATATATATATATTTTTGTGTGTTTTGTACCGAATATAACAATTTCTATCTTCTAAAGTTTATGATTTATTTATAAAATTATTTTCTGAAAGATTCTAATTTATTGAAATCTAGACAAAAAAAAAATATAACAAAATAAATAAACAAGAAGTCAAAGAAGAAGAAAAGACCCTAGTAGATTGATTGGTAAAATAATATATTTTTCTAGGTAATAGAGTAATCCTAACTATTATTTGACAAGCAGATTTAATAAAAAAATTATATGTGTCATCACCTTAAAAAAGTTAGTATAAAAGAATGTCAGTTTGGAAATGTGACATGACAAATTTCCTAAAATAAACGAAATATTTTGATTGCTCATTTTTAAATAAGAAAAAAGTTTATATCATATGTGAATGAATTCTCATTATATAGCAAGAACTGAAAATTATAAATGGAACAAAAAAATAAACAGATAGAAAAATAAATTATAAATATCTTCTTAGCTAACTTTTTTTTTTATCATAATATTATATATACGAATAAAAAGTAGAAGTAAAAGTAAAAATAAATGTTTACGACTTTGGTTTTATGTAAAAATTCCAGACTATATTTTTGATTTAAAGCATCTCCAACTCACTTTTATTTTAAATCTTCTAATTTAGATGAAAAAGAAATATTGTTATTTTTTCTTCCAACTATAGAGGAAAAAACAATCTTTCTTTTTCTTATAAGATAGAAATAGGTCGGAGAGAAGTTCACTTATATTTTAAAGGAAAAAATTGAAAAATACATTGGAGATGATTTTAATGTTCAATATATTATTAAAAGTTAAGAAAAAAATATGAGTCAAAGAGGACAAAAAAAATAAGAATAGTTTTGATCGTTTTTATGTTTTTATTTGAAATATTTCAAAATATTATCTTACACATCTTAATTCTTTCATGAATACATATTTTCTACTATATTAAAACATTATTTAATGAATCAAGTTTTATATATGTTGTGATCTATTATATATATATTAAAGTTAGAAACAGATCAACTCTTACTTTTTAATATAATAATCAAATATTAAATATATAATTTTACACCTTAAATCATATATGTATAAGTTTAGATCCGATTGGTTTAAACGATCCTGTTATAGAGAGTTTGTGGAAGAAAACGATTGCGGATTCTGAAAAATTTGACGAAGAGATGAGCGGAGAGCTACTAGAGAATTTTATAAAATATGATTTCACAATTATTATAATAAATGTTATTATTATATTTTTATTGATAAACCATATATCATAAAACGCTGAAAAATAATAAATTTTGATTAAATACAAAACGATAGAAATGGTTTTGGTGATTTTTTTTAAACACCAATAACTGCATCGTGTAAAAATATAATGCTTGCGAAAAATATCAGAAAAACTTACCAACACCTAGATATTACAATTCACTTATTTCTAACTCATACCTACATGCATAAATATACTTATTTTTTTTTTAAAAAAAACAACCATACATTATTAAAATATATATTACAAAACATATACTTTGTTATTTTCTTTTAACATATAAAAATCATACTTTGAATATCTTACAAATATGTATGTAGATATAAACATTATTTTTTCAAAAGTCAAAATCGCATGCAAACATGTCGTGCATACATTTTGTTAACTTCGATTATACTTTAATTTTAATTTTAGTTGTTCGACAATTTATATTTTTTAAAAACTCTTTATAAGTCCTAAGAGAGGTGAGGTGGTTGGTACGCACGAATATGCGGGCCAACCATCTACCCGCTCTTAGGATAAGTAAATATGATAAAATTAATTTTGGTTTAATTAGCAATAGGTCAAGAAAAAATATATACTTAAAATATATATATTGGCAAGATTATATTATGTAAGGAGAAAAAGAAAGTATAGTATATAGATAATATCCAAAACATATTATAAGAATTTAATTATTATTTAATATAACTTTTACATTTGAAATTATGTGTCACTGTAAATGCTAGGAAAAATAAAAAGTTTTCAAAAGATACAAAACGATATGAAACGTTTCTGTGATTATTGTTGAACACGAAAACTTTAAATGTATAAAAATATAACGTTCACATAATGTATAAGAAAAATAATCAATATTTAAATATTATAACGAATTATGTCTGTAAAAAAAATTATACATGCACATGTGTGCGGGACAAAAATAAAAATTAAATAAATTATTATATATTTTAATTTTTTTTCGTTTATTTAGTTATCATATTTATATTTTTAATCTAAATAAATATTTTAAAATCTTAGTTAATACTTTTTTATCTTCATTTTCCATTGAAATCTTAACATTTTATATTGGATTTATCGTTATTTTTATTATTTAAAATTTATAATTTTATTATCAATACATAATTAATCATATACAAATAAAACATCTTCAATATTATATTAATCATAATAAAACATATAAAATGTTTTATAGCCTGCACACGGTGCATGCCGATCATCTAGTAACAAATTATATATTCTGGATTTTTTTTATGTGATAAGAAATATATATGAATGTACAAGAGATATGAGATGAGATCAAAAATGTGATATGAGTTAGATTTTATATTTTGAACAATAATCTGAGGAAAATGGTTAGATTTTGATTATAACAATTTATATATAAAATTAGAATCAAAATCATTCAAATTCTTTCACATCAAATAAATTTTAAATATCTATCAAGACCCAATAAAACAAGTGTTTAATTGTTGTATTCAAATCTTTGATTGGATAATAATGGATTTCAAAATCTTTACATAAAAAAATTGTAAATATAAGAACCAATAATACTAGATATCAAAACCTTTTAATGAAGATATTTTAAATACAATAACCAATAACAGTAGTTTTTAAGAAATGATTTAAAATCAATCATTGAATAGCAATAGATTATAAGTATTTGAACAAAAAAAAGAAGAAGAATAACAATAGATTATAAAATCAAAAGAATTAACTTTAAATCAATAATTGATTAACACTCTCTAAATCATTTTATACTGTCATATTAGAGGTTTTTTTGAGTTAAAGAAAAATATAATTTTACAACTCCTATAATTGATTATCTCCAAATTCGATTGTCAAAGCAAATGTCTTTTTTCTTTGCTTTTCTTACTACTATTTACCGTCTATACTCTTTTTATACATTGTATTTGCCTCTGACATTTTGTGGTTCCTACAATATACCAGAATCAACCCTCATATCGATCAGCAATTTTAAAAATTCGATTCATTGGACATCTTTTAGGATAACGTATCTTGTCGCCCTTTATTTTTGTTTGTTTTGTTTCTGTCATCAATCTTGTTGTTTCTGTTTCTACAGAGCTCATATATAGAGTAAGAGGATAATGGTTTTGGTGAGTTTTAGCATAAGTGGATCCAAAAGTCATTGTAGAGTGATAGACTTCCCTATCGTAGGTTCGTAACATTTTGGATTTTCAACCTAGAAGTAATCAGATCATTCGAGGAAAAAAGCAATCAATAAAATTATGGTTTCTGGTTCATCCGAGGAAAAAAGCAACCTCATGCATAGTGTATTTAAGCAAAATTCTTTATGTATATGATTTTGTCGACACTCGAGAATGAGGTTCTTGTTGATGGTTAATTCAGTATATGACATTTTAACCCAAAAAAATTCGAAGGGTTCCCCGAAATACAATTACCCGAAGGAAGATAAAAAAACAAGGAAAACACTGTGTGGTATTATAATTGAGATATTCATAAGTCAATTAGCAATCATGCATATCTACTTTTTTTTATCATTTTTGTATTACATCAATGTCCAAATAAAGACGAACTAGATATGAGAAATTTGAAAAAGAATTTACTTTTGTGAATTCGGATGAACTAATTGAATAAGTGAAAAAGAGAAAAATCTAATTTCGGAAAATCTTATTTAGTCTATGGTTTTTGGTTAATAATTTTGTGAATAATGAATGCACTTTGTATAAATAGACGTCTTCTTATAAAGATGCTAAATTTAACATTTGAAATTTTTGTTTTAACATCAAAACTCTCACTGTGTACAAATTTTCTATACATTTTATAAGAATGACTAACAGTAGAAAATTATATATACATGCATTTATAATAAAAACGGTGCGAATGTAACTTTATTTCTGTTATAATGTCGATCTTTACTTTATCTTTCTCTTTAATTTTAATCATATATAGTTGAGTGAATTGGGATAAAGGAGAGGTGAAATGGAGTAGTGACACACCAATGATTTGAAAGCGTCGAATCATATCGTACTTCATAGGTCTACCAATATTTGATCTCCGTCAAATCCATATCATTATATCATATAGCTATAGTTATAATTCTTCTTAGTCATATTTTCGGATTATAATTATTCTTTATTTATCTTGACTCTCGGGCACCAATTTAGTATTCACAAACGATCCAATGACTATTTATAAATTGTCATTTTTAGCGTGTATATAGATAATATATAACTGTTTATCATCATCAATATAACAGATTAGTGTATGATTCTCATAATTTTTTTTAAAAAATTAGGTCAAGAAATGAAGCTTCTAAATGATGAATCATAAATGCAAAACTTAAAGTATATAAGAAATCAGAATATGCACTCTTGAAAATGGATATAGATGATTAATTATGAATCTTAGATGTTTATTAAATCAACTTTTTTCATCTATTTCATTTATATCTTTTTCTAAAGTCGCCTTTTTCTCCATCTCGTTATTATTTGAACAATGAAGTGATGTATAATTTGTTAGTTTGTTTCGTGGAGAGCCATATGAACTCCTTTCAATCAAGTATGAGTAGACTTTGATATAAACAGAACAAAATTTATCCTTTTATTCCCATGACATGAAGAAAAGAATACCTCAAATTTCGACAGTAAAATTAGTTAATTACTTATTAATTGTTATATTTTCACCATAATATATATGTTGTTATAAACGTCACATCGACTGTTTGGTTTGATTGGGGTTGGGGGAGTTGGTGGTTAGTTCGGTTCTAAACTTCAATTTTTAGCAGTTCTAGACGAGGAGATGGAGGAAGAGTTGATCTGTTGGACCTTTGGTGTAAGAGTCTGCTTTTGGTTCTTTTTTTCAGATCTCGTCTTAGATCTTCGTGTGTCTCATCGATTTGATTCTGCCGGAGTGCTTGGCAGTGTTCATTACCTTTTCTTGCTCTCTTTTTTCGATCAGATCAAATTTTTTTATCTCTTTTTGTTGGCTTGTCTCAGTTTTCAACAAAGATGTCTTCGGCTTTTCGTGGTTGCTCTTTATATTTCTAAACAAAGGATCGGCTGATTTTGGGTTGTTTTATGGCTTAGTCTTGCTTATTCTGTTTCTCTTTATTGGTGGTCGATAGTTTGCTAATCTGTCGCTCTGCGCTTATTATTTATTGTTGCTGTGGTCTTTTTACTGCGGGATGGTTTGAATTTCGCTCTTAATCCTTTATCATTTGCTGCTGAAGCAGCTTGAGTGGTTTTTATCTAGACGTTTTCTTGTCTTTTTGACAGCATCGTTTCTGGAAGTTTTTAAGTTGTTGCTCTTGCTTGACGGTTCGTTTCCAGAAGTTTTGTTGCTACACTTGCTTGCCGGTTGATGAAGTTTTGGTTCTGGGCATAAAAGAAAGTTTGGTTTCATTGGTTGGTCGTGGGTATCTTCGATACTTTCAAATTTAGGCGCACCAGAAAATTTAAAAAACTCGCAAATTTAAAGTTGTATTTGTTCTTGGTTAAATCGATTTCTGGTTCTGTTTTAGTTTGGCTTGTTAAGGTTTTGTTTCTGAGTTTTTAATTTCTGTATTTCATAATCGTATCCTTGGGATGTATCGTTCCTCTTGTTTATAATAAAATTTTCAGATGACAAAAAAAAAAAAAATCACATCGACAGTCTAAAGGTGACCTCATTTTATTCTTAATTATGAGTAGAGTAAAATTATAGTTTTGCATGCGTAATAGAGAATCTTTCAAGCCGCAAAGATAAATATGGATTATTATGACGTTAATCAACACTTTTAGACCGACCAATGATTTGCTTGGTTGGTTTGAACACTTGAAATTGCAAATAAGCGTGACGAACAAATAATCATCAAAAAAAATTTCATCGAACTTAAATTTACCATTGTTAAAAATATTGACATCCTCGTCTACTGTCTTTATATTAATGTAGTCAATTCAAGTTCGAATTTAAACACTGTCAATGATTTCTCTTGACTGGCTACAGTTTTGATAAGTGTGTTGAGCTAAAAAACATAATATCATTTTAAAAGCTGAAAATAAGTGGCAAATAATTAACTGTTTAGGTGAATATATATGGTTAATGTTATTTTTGTTTAAACTCTAGAAATTTAGGATTTGGCTCATAATTTTTCAAAGTTCGGGATCAAACCGTTAACAATATATCGCATTAAAGAAATTGTAGTTTCCAAATAAGGTTGAACTATCGCCTTAAAAGGATTCCAACTGTATTTGCCCACTTGGTAATGGTACTTGAATCTTGTTTGAAAGTGGGTTTACTCCGAATTTCTTTTAAATAAATTTCTACATAAAATTCTTTTATCAACTGAAAGAAACTATTTGGTGTAATGGTTAATCGATTTACTGTACAAAAATACTTAGACATAGCAGCAATTTCTGGAATTGTTTTGTTTTGGTGACTTCATAACAACTTAGATGTTATGTTATCTATAAACCCACTTCCTTTACTACAGCAAAAAAGAAGCTCATTTTCATTTCGTTTTGTCCTTTTCTTGAGGTACAATCATATTCCTGATTCCATGAGAGAAAAAAATCATCACTCGATTTGACTATTTGAATCATCTTTAATTTTCTCTTCATTAAAAACAAACTTTTGCAAAAGATGAACTTTATGTAAATTTATAAAAATAGAACAATTCTGGTTTTTTGGTGATTTTTTTTGAATATAATTTTTGAGAAACGTATTGATTTAGTGGTACGAACAATAAAAATGGTATCATTTTGGTTACTTTTCTACTCATCCACCAGAACCACCATAATTTAATGAATTAACTAGTTCCACATATCTAACTTTGACAGTCCAAATTTGGATAATAGTATTTTGGATACTGATATTTAACATAATAAAATCAATTTTTTCTTATATTATAAAAGATGATGAGTATTTCGAATCATCATCTTTTGTATTAGAATTAAATCAATTTTTTTCTTTCTAATGAAGTAAAAAATGAAAAGTATTAAATGAATATTTACCAAAATATGCAAAATACTGCAAACTATAATTGTGAGAAGTTTTTCAATAATAAATTTTAGAAAATAACGTAGATTTTATCTAAATTACTTTCAAACATTGCTTATAATTGTGTCATTTTAGCTAAGAAACCCAATTTTCAATAAGTACATCATGTAAAATACTCAAGGGTCCCAATATTAAGTTATTCTTCACCAATAGAAAGTTTATATATAATTTATACATCAATTAATCTCCCACTGAAAAACTTAACATTTCGCAAGGAAGAAAAATTCATAAAAAGTTAAAACTATATAATGGGAAAAAAAAAAAAGAATATCCAGGAATACAAGTACAACAAGTAACTAGAAAATATTTGTGGCATTTATTTAATTTTTAATCAAGTGTATAAATACCCACTCATCACTGAAGCCACACGTCTTGAGTCCAAACATTCGCCAGCAAAATAACAAACAAAACACTCTCTTCTCTTCTCTCTCGATCTCTCTTCCCCCAAATCATCAGATCTCCTCGCCGTCACAAATTCGCCGGAGAAACGATAAACTCACCACCGTCGAAAAAACATGATCCCTTACGCCACGGTCGAGGAAGCTTCACTCGCGCTTGGACGAAACCTCACGTGGCTCGAGACCGTGTGGTTCGATTACTCCGCCACAAAGTCCGATTACTATCTCTACTGCCACAACATTCTCTTCCTCTTCCTCGTCTTCTCACTCGCTCCTCTCCCTCTCGTTTTCGTCGAATTGGCTCGATCCGCTTCGGGATGGTTCGATCGGTATAAGATTCAACCCAAGGTGAATTACTCCTTCTCTGAGATGTTCCAGTGTTACAAAGACGTCATGAAGATGTTCATCCTCGTCGTTGGTCCATTACAGCTCGTTTCTTATCCTTCGATTCAGGTAAACTCCCGAATCGGATTCATTCTCCTGTTTCGGATTTTGAAATTCGGAAATCGATAAGCACTCTGTAATGTTTGTTAATTGGGATTTCTGTAAAAAATCAGATGATTGAGATTCGATCTGGGTTACCGTTACCGACGATTACAGAGATTCTGCCGCAGTTATTAGTCTACTTTTTGATAGAAGACTACACAAACTATTGGGTACACAGATTCTTCCACAGCAAATGGGGATACGAGAAGATTCATCGTGTTCATCACGAGTACACAGCTCCAATAGGATACGCTGCTCCTTATGCACATTGGGCTGAAGTGTTGCTTCTTGGGATCCCAACGTTTTTGGGACCAGCGATTGCTCCTGGTCACATGATAACCTTTTGGCTCTGGATTGCTTTAAGGCAGATCGAGGCTATTGAGACTCACAGTGGGTAAGGGCATGCGTCGTTTAAAGTATCAAATAACAAATCTTTTTGCCTTTTTTGGCCTTTACAGTGTTATACACTCTTTTTCTTTATTGTTTTTTTCTGTCACATCTTTCCTTAGTTAGTGTATGGATATACAGTATATCATTATATAAAGAGCTCACCTTTTTACAACTGGAGCTAAGTTTAGGTATTAGGTTTTTTTTTTTTCTGATAGTTTTGTTTTCTTAGGCTTTTTGAAGCTAGTGGGGATTGTTTTGGAACTAGTTTAGATTAGATACCTTTCGGTGATGATAAACAGGTAGGCTCATTTTTATTTTTATGTTTTGGGTACCCAAAACATCTAAAGTAAGAAACAAGTGGGTTCAATGGCGAATGAGAAATGTGATTCAAATTGCAGATATGATTTTCCATGGAGTCCAACAAAATACATTCCTTTCTACGGTGGAGCTGAGTACCATGACTATCATCACTACGTTGGAGGACAAAGCCAAAGCAACTTTGCTTCAGTTTTCACTTATTGTGATTATATATATGGAACTGACAAGGTACATGTTCATCAAAGTTTCAATCAAAATTCAGCAATTCTATCTGTAAAAACATTCAATCATGTAGTTAAAATTTGTTTTTTTTTTTTTTTTTTGGGTAGGGTTACCGATTCCAAAAGAAACTTCTTGAACAGGTAAAATCTCCATCTACTTTGGTCTCTAGAACAAGAATCAAGACCTGATAGCTTATGTTTAACCGTGTTTTTTTTATTGTATGTTTCACTCATTGCAGATCAAGGAGTCGTCGAAGAAGAGCAATAAGTATAACGGAGAAATCAAATCCGAATAGTCTAAACCGGAAAAGATTTTTTTAACCGGTGAAAGAGATGCTAAGTTGCTCAGATCTAGTCAGCTTCACGAAAAAGAAAAGGGAGTAGTAGTAGTTGATAATTTTTCGGATGTGTCTTACGTCGTCAAAGCTGTTACTAACTTCCTTTTTATTTTTGTAAGCTCACATGAAAAATGCTGCTTCCGACAATTGTGGGTCATGATGATGTATATGTGTGTCGGGACTGGCTTTTGCTCTTTCCTCGCACCTTTTTTTTATATTGTTTGTTTCGTTTGGAAGAAGAAAGATGTCATCTAAGTCGTGCTTGTTCTTATTATTATAATGTCTGAGAGAAACTTTTGTTCGTATCTTTCCTCCTTACGTAACTGTTGTAAATCAATAAGCCCGTCTAGCTCAGTTGGTAGAGCGCAAGGCTCTTAACCTTGTGGTCGTGGGTTCGAGTCCCACGGTGGGCGAATTATGTTCTCTTTTTGTTTACAAACATGAAAGAGAAAAAAAAGGAGACAAATTAATTCAAATGTAAACGCAAACATTAAATATTGGAAAGAACTTTAAAGAAAGCAACAAAGCCCGTCTAGCTCAGTTGGTAGAGCGCAAGGCTCTTAACCTTGTGGTCGTGGGTTCGAGCCCCACGGTGGGCGATCAATTTTCTTTTTGCTTTAACGCTTTTTTCAATAATCGGAGAATGAAAATTTCAAGAAAACAATCCACTAGTTGTTTAGAGGAAACAAACAAAATGTATTTATTTACAGAGGGAAGAAATCTTCACCATTTTATTTCCAAAACAAAAATCGCCACGCACACAATAAGTTGTCTAAAACGACAGAGAAACAGAAAAAAAATTAAATGTCGATATCATCCAGTGAGATCTCCTCTTCTTCGTTTAGCCGTTTCATTTTCTGCACATAACAAGAACACATTCATCAGTCACTATACCAGAGACAAAAAGAGAGCTTTTTAGGTGTTACAAAAATCCAAAAGTGAAAAGAATCCATACAGAGAGGAAAGTTTGTGGGTCCAGGAAGCTGGACGAGCCTAAGATAACTTCTCTGTCAAGCTTCTCCGTAAGTTTGTGGCAAACCCTTAACTGCGACAACCCAAAATGTATCACTAATTAACCCATTTGGTTAACCAATTGAATTCTCACACTGAAAAGTATTACAATACGTCAATACCTCAGATCTCGTTGCTCCTCCTACTATGAAGACGAAAATCCGCTGTCCCTTTCTCTTCAATCCACTAGATGCTCGTCCTAGAACCGAGTCACTGAAACACACAGAGAGATCATTAGTCAAGTCATTGTTTGATTTCACCATATCATCAATAACATTCTTATTATCTTTGTAGAAATTTGGCCAACTTTTGTTGTTTGTCATGCAATTTATCGAATTTTTCAGGAACACACTAGCTCTCAGATTGAAAAAAGGAAATGGAATTACCTGAAATATCCATCATCTGAAAGATGGCGTCTTGCCCAAGTTGGTGTTCGTCTTGAATGAGGCAACACAGGACTCGCTGAAGGAGATTGAGAACCAGAATAAAAGGTTGGCCTCGGTTCGTTCATACAAGGGTAGTCTTGTTTAGGCAAATGACCTTTGTTAAGTTTCTCAACAAGCTCCTGACAAATACAAAGAAACCAAACATGTTACTGATTTTTTTTAAGAATACATACATACAATGCTTAAAGTAGAATTTGAAAGTTTATTAAAGGATTAAAGACCTCTACGATTGGATAAAAACGAGATAATTGCCATGTCTGAGTTTCACCAACACGATCTCTTCTAGCAGCTCGCTTCTTCTGAGCCACACGGATCAAAAAGATTCAAGATATTAGATTGTCAGGAAAACTTTAGTTTATTCTAATAAAAACAAGAATGAATGAAATACGTACCTTAAGAACATCAAACTTTAGAGGGAATGATCCTGTTGTGCTTTTCTTAGACTCTGTAGGTACCGGTCCAAGTAATCTCAAATTGTTCACAGCTACTACATCATCTCCCGACAATTTTGCTAGCTGAAGGATTTAATCAAGAAGTAGAAAAGCTCAGAAATGATAACTAATCACCAAGACTTTGTGGAGAGAAAGATTGTTTATTACCTCCATCATCTTTCGTCCCTTTTCACCTTCAAACTTCTTGGGGTAAATTGCCGCGAAAATCATCATTAACCGGAGCTTACTTTCTTGGTTTATAACCTGGAAATGTTGATGATTTTCAGCACAACGATCTTTTGGTGTCTGTGACTTGAACTAAAAAGCAGAGCATCTTACATTGTTGGTGCTCAAAAATTTGATAACCTCTTTTCTTCCAGCATCCCCAAAAACAAGGTCCTGCTCGAGCTGCCCGAGGTCTCTTAGACCTTGTTCCATGATAGTTCTGTTAATTGTTCTAGCAATCTGCAGTGACATTAACCATATTTATTTTATAAAAAACAAAGGATCTACTTTATGTTATAAGCTTAAAAACTAACCTCTACATGAAGAGAAAGCTTGTCAATTTGCTCACTGTACTGAGGCAAAGCGTGAACCATCTTCTGCAAGTCTTTAGATGAAAGATCACCAAATTCTCTGAGTACAAGAAGTCAATAAATTAATCAGAAATGTTCTAGTGGATCACTTGAAACAAGGAAAAAAATAAAAACCAGTAACTACTTTGAACTGTGTTTCAGTTGCGCGGCTTTGTTCTTGGACACGAAGTTTGTCATCTTCTCATGCAATCTTTCACTGGCCTGAACACAAAAATAGATTATTTCAAAGAAATCCACATAGTCGCCATGACAAATCTTAAAAAGGTGAAATAGATGAGGAGAGACATACATCTGCAATGTGAGCATCTCGAAGCTCCAGCCAAATGGGATCTTCTTCATCTAGAAGAACCTCTTTTTTCTCAGGATTATCACCAGTTTTACTCGGAACCTAAACACTAAGAAATAAAAGGGAAATTACCATATGCTGTAGTGATGAACTACAACAAACTTTTTAGAAGATTTGAACGCAAAATCAAAATGTCACCTCGTGTGTGTACTTATTTCCTTCCATGGAAAGCAAATCGTGGCACATCGCATCATATGTCCACTCATGAATGAGAGGTGCGATCTAAGAAGCACAAAAATGGTATTCTGTTTTCAAAGGCATATCAAACGTAATTGAAAGTAATTTGTGTCAGTGAAGATCCAAACCTGGTCTATGGATCGATCTAGAATAAGTAGTTCACATGTTTCAGTCTGAGGAAAATCATCGATTGTCTGTTTGTATCTTGCCAGACAATTCCATACACTAGCAGCAAGCTTTGTAGGAATTAACTCTCGGTATGTTGTCATTGTCGTGGCATCAAGAGCTTTGGCTCCACGGTAGCGCACAATGGGGTATTCCTGTATTATACCAGAAGAGCTTAAAGATTAAGCTGTCATAGTTATTTCATGCCAAATCAACAAACAAGCTTCGGATTTGTGCCTCGTACCTTTAGTGACGCCAAAACTGTAGCGATGCGTTTAGCTACCACATTCAAGCAAGCATCTGCTCTCTGATGGTTTTCGTCGTCACTATAAAGTTCTTCTAGAGCATTTTCGTTATTCGTAACGAACCCCTGCAAAGACATGATACAAAGGAGGAATTGTGAAACAGGTTTCAATATAGAAACAGTTAAAAAATATTCATTGTCCTGTAGAGAAAGTGCGCTTAAATATGTTAAGCTATATAATTTGCAGACTTTCTGAAGGCAGTTCTAAGTTGTTTTCAAGCTGTATGTAAGTTTGGCCTCAAAGAAGAAACCAATAAGTTGATAGCATGAAACTCATTTGTAAAACTATGCAAATCTTGAGGAGTAGACAGAAATCAATCGAGATTTTAAAAGTTAAAAGTCACCTGACTGTCCATGCTAATATACTCCAAGTTCATCTGCATATTATCGAAATCAATCAAATTTTTACATTTTATAAACTGTCTTGCGTGATTGCATATAGATAAGGAATGTGAGAACAAAAAATATGAAAGTGGCATATTAAAAGCAACCTCTTTCAGAGCGCCAATTCGTTTCATTGCTCTCAAGTCTTTCCTAATGAGAGTAACTAAGCTTCTCGAAACAGGAGAACTAAAGAAAACGAAAGCCCTGAAGCCACAATAAAGAAAACGATTAATCATTTCGGACAAGACAGTCCATAGATTTAAGAAGTTATGAAACAGGAAGGAATTGTTCACATACTTCTTGTAAAGTGGTGATTTTCCAGTCATATCTGACAAAAACGTAGTGACACTGCCACACACACAAAAAAAAGAGAGAGCAACAGCTTCAGAACCTCATAAAATTTCATTTACTAAGAGAAATTGATTTCAACTGTCTCAGAAGAAAGAAATAAATTACTTCGCTTCGGTCGGTTGAATAAAGTATATGGCTTCCATAGAAGTCATAGGTTGTCTATGTTTAGTTATGACCTCAACCACTGGAAAATGAAGCAAAACATCAAAATCTTTCCACAATAAACAATGCCAAAAAGCTAAAATAACAATAGTGATCACCACATCGAGTTCTGAACAAGATAATTCTTACAGGAAATGCCTTCTTGTGTGATCTCAGACATTTTGCAGACAGATGACATTATCTTCACTGTGAACTTGTCCATAACAAGTACCTAATTATACATTTCCAGGTGTAAAGGAATCAATGAAGTAAGAACCAGGATCTAAAAGGTAACTCAATGAAAGAAAATTGGATAGAGATTACCTTCCAAGTCGATTTCGAGCTCCCATTTTTCTCAGGCCTAAGCATTTCATACAGTAATCCTGAAACCAAAAGTGACAAAATATTTTCAAAACCTGGAGAAATTGTCATCGAACTTTTGATATAATTAGTTTTTAACAAAAACATTCTAAAACCGTAAATCATCTGAATTCATTGTGATCACGTTGACCTAATTCGTAACCCATAAACCCCTAATTAATCTAATCAATCCGACGAAACCCTAGAGCCCAAACACCAGAAGCTTCCAAAAAGCAAATCGCACATGGTCTCAATCAAAATCCCGATTTCAAAAATACAAAATTGGAAAGAGAAAGGCTAGAAGAAGCTCACTCTCTCTGGTGATTTGCCTGAAATTTTTGTAATCCCCGCCATTTGAGAACGATCCAGAATCGGAGAAAGACATGGCGTGTGAAATCGACATGGTCGACGGAAAGAGGATTTTTTGTTAGATGGAAAGCAAAAAAAAAAAAGGAGAATCTAGCGGAATCGAATATAATTCGGGGGATTAAAAAACTCAAAAGCGGATTCCCGAAGAGGAAGAAGAAGAAGGAATTGTCCGATTTCGAAATCGTGGATCGGAGAAAATGAGAATCTAGGGTTTACTTGGTAACGAAGATAACAACGTTAAAAAAGCAAAAGAAGCTTGGCGCTTCTAGATTTCCGTTTTTGATATTTTCTGGGTCGGCTCCAGCGAGCCCATGAATTTTCAAACCTTGAACGAGTTTTTTTTTCTTTTCTCACAGACGTGTGAAAGTCAAAATTAAGAGACAATTTTATTATATCTTTGGGAATATTTTCAAAACAGTCCTCAAAGTAACCAAAATTTTCAAAACAAACCACCAACTAAAGAAACTCTATAACAATCACCCATCTAATTCAAAATTGCCAATGTCATCCACAACTACATAGTTTGAGGGTCTGTTTGCAATTTCTTGTAAATTATTCAACAAACAACTTTTTTTTTTTCAGTGAATTCCCCATTTTATATTCACAGTTTTTTTTCTTTCTTTTTAAAATCACATTTTTCCTCTAAAGATTTATTCAGATAAAGTATTTGTTAGTTCATAAATTTTAACTTTAAGAAGTTGACAATCTTCAAAGGAAGAAGAAAGGAAACATGTCGCCGAGTAAGAAGATAAGAGAAAGATTTGCTTTTAACCAGAAAATCGTGGTTTAATTTGTATACTATAATATGCTGTGCTCTCGTATGAAAACTAAATAAGCTAAAGTAATGACGTTTTTGGGGGGGAGTTTTGACCTATAAAATGTGCATACGTCTCTGCGTGTGACTGAATCTCTCTACTTCCCACCATTCTTGTAGCCGTCTTTGAGCGTCACCGTCTGGTTAAAGACGAGCTTTCCCGGTCTAGAGTCTTTGTCAACCGCGTAATAACCTAAAGTCAAAGGTTGTGTCAGTGTTTGATTTCTAATATTAACCATAACAACTGTTGAAGTTCATAAGAAAATACCCATCCTCTCGAACTGGAACGTATCCCCGACCACAGCATCTTTAATGGTTGAAAGAGCATATGCATCAGAAACTACAACTTTGGAGTTGGGGTTTATGTCGGTGAGCCAGTCATCATTGAGTTCAGCTGGGTTCTGTTATAAAATTAAAAGAACATTGTTTCAGCTGCTCAGGGAAAGTTTTTGTCTTTGTTAACCAGAGGAAGTAGCTTGCGAGGGAAGAAAGAACAGTTTTACCTCGGAGTTAAAGAGTTTCTCAAATTTTCTGACTTCAACTTTTAACATATCTTTTTCCGGGACCCAATGTAGAGTCTGCAGACAAAAGGAAACGATTAATAAGTGTGCCACGCACGCAACTGCAGTATATCTCTCTATGTGGAGATATGGTTTAACCGGAAATGACCTTTAGCTTTGGCTTTTTCTCAGGATCATACTCCGCATGAACCTCACAAACTGTTTCAGCGTCATCACCCAGGACAACGTTTGTGCACTTTATTGGGAAACCGTATCTGCAAAACAGCATTTGAGTCACAGAGATGAATCAAATTCAAAATGATGATCAAATGTGTAAGTGTTGTTGTGTTTGCGTACTTAAGAAGGACTGATTTGCCAGGAGCAAGTCCATAGTATTTTGCCGAATCCTCCATTCGGAAGTCAGATTGCTCAATGTACACAACTCTAGAGAACGGAACCTATATCAACACCAACCAAACAAACAAACTAAAAAAATTCAACAAAACAGAGAAATATGTTCCTGTTTTGTGTAGCAAAACATGGGTTTCACAAAGTTTCACCTTGTAGGTTTCCGAGAGATCTTCGTCATTTTGAGCATTAGGCCACCTTTTAGCATCAATCTCAATAACCTCGTCTGGTTCCATATTGGTGATGACCACCTTAAGAGGATTCAACACCACCATCGTGCGAGGAGCTGTTGTATTCAACTCCTCTCTAATGTGACTCTCAAGACGACTCATATGTATCATGCTACCATCACTTCTGGTGATTCCAAGCCCTCGAACAAATGCATTTATCGCAGTTGGAGTCACACCCCTCCGTCTCAAGCCAGCAAGTGTTAAAAGACGAGGATCATCCCAACCATCAACATACTTGTTTGTCACAATGTAATTCAGCTGCAGCGAGAAAAGAAAAACGAATGATACACACCATGGTTCATTGCAAGTAAATGCTAGTTTCTGTTCACAGGCAACTTAACCAACCTTACGCTTGGACATTACAGTGTTGGTGACATTCAACCGTGAATATTCCCACACATGCGGCATATAGAGACTCAGGGAATTCAACAACCAATAATAAGAAGCCCGCCTGGTTTCAAACTCAAGAGTACAAAGCTACATTTATGCACATATAAGAAAAATGTCAGAAACCACCACAGGAAAGTAGACTGCAGATGATTCAACAGCCAAAAAAGACTTAGAGAGGGACAAACCGAATGTGTTATATTTTCAAGAGAATCAACAATGCAGTGAGCATAGTCATAAGTCGGATAGATTTTCCATTTGTCACCAGCATGAGGGTGAGATGTGAACTGCAAAAACACACATAAACAAGTCAGAGACTGGGGGATCTACTTGTTATGCTTATACGTAACCAGAGATGGTTTTTTAGCTTTTACTTGCCTTTATGCGATAGGCAATAAGGTCGTACATGTTATAATTATCATTCTGCATATCTTGTTTCATTCTAAGTGTTGCCTTGCCTTCTTCAATCTTCCCTCGTCTCATTTCGTCAAAAAGTTTTAGAGATTCTTGAATAGGCCTGTCCCTCCAAGGGCTGTTCATTTTCTTTTCTCTGTAATCTTTTATCTCATCAGCATTCTGAAAGTAGATAGACAACTATTAGACTGAGACAAATCCGTTAACTGGAAAATCAAAAAAGGAATCCACATGTGGGAGGACGTTTAAACCTGATGATCAACATAAGCATGACCTCTTCGAATCAACTCCACTGCCAAATCATACAGTTCTTGGAAATACTTGCTGGTGTAAGTAACCTAGAATCAAAACAAAACGAAACTGTCACTCAGATGAATACTAATAACACAAAAAGCTAGTCATCGTACAGCAGAAAATAACAATACCTTGAAGGGTTCCCAACCCATCCATTTAACAATATCTTCGATGTGATCAATATACTCTTTCTTCTCCGCCTCGGGATTTGTATCATCATACCTAAAAATCCAGATTTTTTCAGAGTTACTCCTTGTAAAAGAACAACGATTGCTACCGAAAAGCAAAAGATGTAAGAAACAACACCAAGAATGTTTTTACCTTAGATAACAGCAGCCACCTCTCTCCTTTGCAAGACCGAAATCAACAAACATAGCCTGAGAGTACATGAAAACGTAGGCCTTAACAATCATACACCATCATGCAAAGTATCTCGAAAACCTCATATCATGTAAAATTTACCTTGGCATGCCCAATATGTAGATAACCATTTGGTTCAGGAGGGAAACGGGTATAAACTTTCCCTCCAGTCACCCCGAGATGCTTGTCAAGCACTTCCTTGGTATTGCTATATTCCATAACAGAATTGTCGCTGAAAACCACTTTTGTGTGAACCTGAGAAAATAAATGACCAAGAACTTGCATGGTTACAAGTTACAACAATACTTCTGCCACAGATCTTCCATAAGCATACGTTCCATGGTAATGCTAGCTATGAATTCATCCATGACTAAACCAAAATTTCCTGACATACATATTCTATTCTTGCTATCACTCATCTCAGCACATAGATGGATGAAAAAAAGAGAAGCACATAAACAAAAGAAGTAGAGTTACCGCAAAATTCTGGTTTGGGTGAGGGAATATAGAAAATGGATTAAGCTCATCATCAGATGGATGTGGGACAGCTTCCACAACAGCTTTCTACACATAATGTAGCCACCGGAAAATGTAAGTATTAAAGTCGAAGGACACACAAAAGAACATACATTGGAAATGAAACCTGCGCTTACCTCTACTTTGGCAGGCTTCTCTTTCTTCTCCTTTTTAGGTTTACCATTGTCAGCAGCAGTTCTCTCGCCAAGCAGCTCATACATTTTTCCATCCATGACTCTCTTATCACACAAAAAAAGATGGGACCGAATAAGGAAACGAAGATAAATGTACAGAGCATCACCTGCTAAAACTATAAACTTACCTTCACAGTCTTACGATCTGCCCATGGCAAACGTTTCATGACATTTTCAATATGTTTCCCCACTATACACATAAGAACAAGAAGCTGGTTATGCCTGAAAGAAACAAAGAATGTCAGACAATGAGGGCAAAGAGCATTGACTAACCATCAGTCCGGTAACGCTGCTCCAATATCGAATTCATATTCTCTTGAAAGATTCCCTCAACGGCTCTCTCAATGTCTTCTTGCGAAACCTCAACCCCTGTTCCAAAACCATCGTGTTAGTAAAGGATCAGAGAGACTTAGATTCTTCTCAAGTTCATTAACAAAAGCCCTTACCAACACCACACGCCTCCTCAAGTTCATTTAGCTTCAAGTCCTCAGGACCGGATTTGCTTTTGATTAAAAACGAATATGCAGCTTCCAACTGGACTGTAGTTGTTATCTGCAATATTCAGAATGAATGACAAATTTAGGACAAAAGCAGATCCTAAACCCCAAGAAACAGACAACATTCCGTCTTTAGTGACTGTAACTCAAGGAGCCCGATGCGAACCTTGGAAGAGACGATATACTTGAGCAGTGTAGGACGATGCGCAAGAGCCTTTCCATGGTACTTCGTAGCCATCTGTTACACATTATTGCAATGTGAACGTAACCTCAATAAATTTCTTTCAAGCGTTATATAAAAAAAGACAAATCTTTCTGTTCTGAATGGTTAATATCTTTCTTAGTCAATATGAAAAGTGTAAAAATTTGCGGCGGAATATCTCACCATGTACAACAGATTTCCAATAGCTCGGTCGCACCCATCCGTGACACCAGCCTGTACAATATCATCAAACTAAGAAATTCGAATTTTGTACCCAAAAAAAATTGAAACTTTGAGCAGATTAGACAAAAAAGGAAATCGAGAAGGACCTGGTGGATGAGGGCGGTGAGATCGGTGCTGACCCAGCTGGTTTTTTCGAGGGTTGTGCGCGCGGTTTCCTCATTCAAACCAATGTTGAGAAAGAGCTCGAGAGCTTTCTCCATAGCGTGAGCGAGAGAGAGATGCGTCGACGAAGGGTTTTCGAAACTTTATGTTACGATCCAAATACCGGAAGCTGTGGGCCTTTATTGGGTCAGAGGAATTGAAGTTAACAGATCAAAGCCCAAGTTATTCCTAACTCAATTTAATTAATTTTAGGGTTTTTAACTCAACTTTTGTAAAATCATAAAAAAATTAATGAAAACCCCTCAAGTAAAAATAAATAGAGAATAAACCCTTTATTTATAAAAGTAATATGAACTCTTTTTCTGTCTATAATAACGTTAAAATCTATCTCAATATTCTATTAAACGTTTTAGATTATTAGTGTGAATAATTTTAAAAATAATGTGATAATGAGATACTTTGTTTAGAAAATTGATTAAAGAACAATTTCTCAAGTTGTACAAGAAATTTGAAATTTTTTAAAGTTATTTTTATAATCCAAATTATATACATTTAATTTAATATTGATCATTTAGGTTTTAATATAATTATAGACCGAAGGGTTTTTCTATTAATTTGATAGTTAGGAGTTTATTCTTTATCTATATTTAGTCAAATGGTTTTTTATTATAATTATGTGAGATTTTGTAAAACACATGTCATTTTTTTACAACCCAAAATACACAGTTTTAATTTAACGCTGACCGTTAAGATTTAACAGTATTGTAGACAGAAAGACTTTTCATAAACGGACTTAAAGTTGAGGGATTTTTACATTAATCTATAGTTGAAGGATTTTTCTTCAATCTATCTTTAGTTGGGAGGGTTTTTTCACTAAAAACCCTTAATTTTATGCCATTATCTTCTCCCTCTTTTTATCTTTCTTATATGTTTCCTATCTATTTTCTTTACTTTTATCATTCATCAACTGATGCTTTCGTTAAGAGCTTATGATGGGGTTTCAGAACTCGAGAGATTGAGACGAATCTAGAGAAAACCTAAAGCAAGCGATGTTGGAGTATGCTCGGAAACAAAGTGATAACTTCAAAGAAGAATGGATAAATATTCTCAAGATACAGTTCGAAAAAACCTACAACCGAGAATATCAGCTCCAACCGCTGGCTGAAGAACAACTTAAAAAGAAACCCGAGTATCAGCAAGTTGAGACAACATTTTTAGAGCCTAAACCAATAGAAAACCTAGACATATCTCTCGATAAACTCGTTGAAGATTCTGATACAGCTAACGTTACCTAAAATTGGGCTTTTTATTAACATGATCATACAGAAATAACTAGAAGTACTGGACCAAAATGCCTATGTTTAAGTTTACTTAGATGAGTATGTCTCGAAATGGATATCCAACCTATATGAATCATATGAAAAAACAAAAATCAAACATAGAATCTTCAAGTTGCTTAAATCATTGTTCGAAAACTAGGCCACTTGGTCGATTTGGCGGCTGAAAAATCAGGATGCGATGGGTCTCCATAGCGAGTTTGGAGTGATCAGTGCAATCATGCGGTAGTCTGAATTTTGTTCGTCAAAAACATAGTTTTTTAAAAAAAAACCACCCGTTCATTAGACTCAAACCATGTAGTGACAACGATACCTACATACTTCGGCCCAATGTTTTAAGAACCCCATCAAGCCCAGTTACCACACAAAAAAATTTCTCGACTCACTTCCCCCGACGATACATTTGGGGTTTTTTCCTTCACACGAAAAACTTTAATTGCCATTATTCAGCCCCAAATATACATCAAATCGAGTTAATCACTTAAAATACAGCTCAAATTTTAAACGCAAACGTCAAATGCATATAAAGATGTACTTTTGGCTATGGAATTTAGAGTATTGGGGTTTTTTCCTTCACACGAAAAACTTTAATTGCTATTATTCAGCCACAAATATATATCAAATCGAGTTAATCACTTAAAATACAGCTCAAATTTTAAACGCAAACGTCAAATACATATAAAGATGTACTTTTGGCTATAGAATTTAGAGTATTGGGGTTTTTTCCTTCACACGAAAAACTTTAATTGCTATTATTCAGCCACAAATCTACATCAAATCGAGTTAATCACTTTAAATATAGCTCAAATTTTAAACGCAAACGTCAAATGCATATAAAGATATATTTTTGGCTATAGAATTTAGAGTATTGAGGTTTTTTCCTTCACACGAAAAACTTTAATTGCCATTATTCAGCCCCAAATCTACATTAAATCGAGTTAATCACTTTAAATACAGCTTAAATTTTAAACGCAAACGTCAAATGTATATAAAGATGTTGGCTATAGAATTTAGAGTATTGGAGATTAGAAGTGGTACAACTCATAATAAGCGGGAACTAACAACTGAATCTTTAAAACTGGTTCAGTAATTTCTTCGAACGCTTCCTAGGCGCAACCACACAACTCCCGTACTTCGACTACACGTGTAGGAACGAGAGATCAATTCCGCCGCCACGTGTAATTCACGTGTCTTTGTTTCAGAGCTTTCTCTCTCCAAGGCAGTGGTTTAACCACAGGGACGAAGAACAAACCCACTTCACAAAAAAAAGAGAATGCTTCAATTCAATTTCCGTCGTGAAATCTGCAAGTCTACCGGATTTTTTCGCCGGAGGATACACAGCGATCTCGAAGATGCGGGTCCGATGGCGACTCGGCTTAAATCACGTTCCGTTGTTCGGTTTAGCGGACCGGATACGGTTAAATTTCTTCAGGGTTTGTTGACCAACGATGTACGGAGGTTCGGTGAATCCGCCGGCGAGAAAAGCTCGACGGTTCCTACTCCGAACATGGCTTCCGTTTCGACGCCGCCTATGTACGCGGCGCTGTTAACTCCTCAAGGAAGGTTTATGTACGATTTCTTCTTGTATAACCCGACGCGACCGGAGGAAAAGCTCGATCGCACTGGTTCAGGACCCGGGTCGGATTCAGATTCGGGTCGTAGTGGGTCGATTGAGTTATTTGCAGATGTTGATGTCTCTGTTCTCGATGAATTGCTGGAAACACTAAAAAAGTAAGCTTTTCATCACATTTTCAGCACAAATATGATGGATTGGGACTTAGCAATGTCCTTGGAGATTAGGGTTTATTGAGTTAGAGATGATTATAAGATAATGGATTTAGATGCCATGTCTATAGGTTTTACTGAAATTAGTAAAAAGCTCAGATTTTGTAGAGGAAGAAGCTATTCTCTTGTTAAGGTTATTTCTGAGTTGTGTTTTTCTTGAATGTTCATAGATAAACACTAAAGAAGTAAGCTTTACTCTCCTCTCACATTTTCAGCACACAAATTTGAAGAATTGGGTTTTAGCAATGTCCTTGGAGATTACGTTTTGTTGAGTTACATATTAAGATAAAGATAATGGATTTAGATGCCATGTCTATTTGCTGAGATTAGTAAAAAGCTTAGATTTTGTAGAAGAAGGAGAAGTAGCTATTCTCTTGTGAAAGTTAGTTCTGAGCTGTGTTTTCTTGATGAATGTTGATAGATATCGCTTGAGGTCGAAAGTGGATATTGAAAACGTTGCAGAGGAATTCTCGTGTTGGCAGCGTTACGGCATGAATCTCTCTGGATCTTCGTCTGTAGGTTGGGGAGGTGGCGTTGATCGTGCCGGTGAATCTACAGCTAGTGGTAATAAGTATGGATGGCAATGGTACAAGGACCCGAGGCTGGATTGTCTCGGTTACAGAAGCATTTTTCCTTCTGATGCAACCCGTAAGATTCTTGAGACTGTGTAATGATTCTGGTGGTTGTTAGCAAGAACCTTACGAATTTGCGGGTTCTTACTTTTGTTTGTTTTGCCAGCGCCTTTAGTTGAGTCAGATAAAGAAACAGATGAAAGCAATTACCTTCTATGGAGGTTAGAGCATGGAGTTGCTGAAGGATCAGCTGAAATCCCTAAAGGTACGATCTACTCTTTCGATCTCTCTTCTTCTCTGCGTGTTTTATAATATGTTTCTGTGTGGCTTTTTACAGGGGAAGCAATTCCGCTTGAATATAACTTTGTTGGTCTTAATGCAATAAGCTTTGACAAAGGCTGCTATGTTGGCCAAGAGCTTATAGCTCGTACTCACCACCGAGGTGTCATCCGCAAACGCTTGATCCCTCTACGGTTCGTCGATAGCAACGGAAAAGGTAAACTCAGTTTCCGGTCTAAAGAATTTTCGAAATGCTTACAATCTTTATGATCAAATACATATTTGGATACTCGCACTTTTGCTGCTGCAATGCCATGGGCTCCTTTACGATTCGTCGATAGCAACGGAAAAGTAAACTCAGTTTCCGTCTAAAGAATTCGAAATGCTTACAATCTTTATGATCAAGAAAACCAACTCCCGGTTCTTGGTTATGCAGAGGTGAACCAGAAAATAGCGGCTGGAGCTGAAGTGGTTGAGTCAGGAACCGGCAAGAAAATGGGGACGGTTTCGACGGCGTTGGGAAGCCGAGGAATGGGTGTGATGAGGGTAGAAGAAGCCTTCAAAGCATCGACTGAATTGACTGTAAAAGGTTCGGAGGATGTGAAAGTGCAGGCGATTAGACCGACGTGGTGGCCGGCTGAGTGGTCACAGCAGAGTCAATCCGAAACAGCCGCCGTATAGTGACTACGGTGAGAGTTGAGGATTGAATGGGTGAAGTCAGAAGATTCTCTGGAGTTTCTTGTGGATGTTGCTCCGATTACAAGCTTGTTCCTTCTTCAGCTTTCTTATACTTTCCGGTGAGGAAAGCTGTCTTTTTTAATGTGGATGTAGCTTTTTTTTTGTATTCCACTGTTAGTTATACTAATAAAGGTTGAAACTTTCCGGCGAGTTTTATCCTACCGGATGATTTTGTGCTAACTGCTACTAGTTTTGATGTCAAATTTCAAAGTTTATTCAGTTTGGTCTGTCTTTGATTACTTTGGTAAATGTTAAGCTTATTAAAATATAAAACTCACAAGAATACCAAAAATATGTATTACTTGAAAATGTACAAGTTACAAACATTGAAGAACACAATACGTGTGACCTAATTCAATTGTGAGTTAAAACTACAATTTCTAAACTTGGATACCGAAATAATACAGCAAAATTGCAAAAATAGATTTCTAGGAAACAGAGCGTGTGACCGAAGTTGTTGTGCAAACCCTAATTTCAAGCCGTTGAGACATCCCAGGGTAGGAACCCCTCGCTATTAGAACCGTCGTAGTTTTGTCGTATTTTTTTTGACGGAGAAGGATCAGCGACGGTCTGGAACCGTTTTAGATGGAGGAAGATCAGCGACGGTCTGGAACCGTTTTAGACGGAGGAAGATCAGCGACGGTCTGGTAAGTAATTACGACGGAGACGCCCAACTCGAAACTGTTATCATCAAAAGCAAACTTGCTTGCAGCCGCTGAGATCCACTGGTCTAAGCTTTCGCATAACCAATGGTGGTGGGTAGCGAGCTGATTCAGGAGAAGCTCTCGGACGCAATGACGATTCGAGCTACGGAGATCGATGGTAACCCGTGTAAAAACGGTGCGTTTCGTGGCGGATTTCTCCTCGAGGAAGAAGATGATTGAGTTTGATGGAGGCGGTGGAGGACCGTAGATGTCCTTGAGGAAGAAGTCTGAATGAGTTTGATTCAAACAGATGACGGAGAATAAGCAAATTTCCACTTGCCGAGTATTCATGTTTGATTCCCAACAGAATTCAGAGTAGAGAGAGATTCACGGCAGAAAATATTAAAAATCGAGAGAGAAAAGTGAGAAAGATTTGTGAAACTCTAGTTAGGGTTAAGTAAATGAGATTTATATAAACGCGTCATTGGGATATATTTTTTTGTTTCGCTCTCTTAACGGTTATCGAAAAAGCTCAGGTATTTCTTGAAGTAAATTTTATAAATGTTTAAATTATGTAGTATAAGAAGATTTATTATATATTATATTATAAGATAGTTTGTTTTTGGTATATATGTATCATGACTTTATTTCAAGAAAATAGATAGTTCGTTTTTCATATGTGTATAGAAAACATAATTGTCTTTTTTTTTGCTAACAAAAAAGCCAATTGTCTTGCTGATGGATTATCTAACTCGCACTTTTTCCCTTCTTCTAGGTGTCCAGTTTTTAGATTCGGTTCCACCTAGTTTAGTTTCAATTTTCAGTTACGATATGATCGGTTCTACGCGTCCAAGAAGAGTTTGTGTAACTGGTTTTTATGTTTTGAATAAAATCAGAAGACAATAGCCCTGTTCTTTATGTTGACGCTGCCGCAGTGTTAAGCGGCTGAAATAATACACTCTGTGGTGACTGAATTCTTCTTCTCACTACCGTAAGGAATAGACGCCAAGAGCCCAGCGACCAAAAATATATAGAATTTGTGACGCAGAAAAAACCGGGATGAAAAGACGGAGGTGCGGCTGTTTTTTTAAAACCAGCGACATAAACTAACGGAGGATGCGGCTATTAATTATTTATTTCCCTTTATAATTTTTAGTCGCAAGTAGATGCGGCAGCGTCAACATACATAACAAGGCTAATGTCTCCCCCACCCCTTCCTACCAAAAAAAAACTATAGTTATATTAATAATATATCATTTATTTATGTGTTATGAGGATTAAAATTAAAAATTTTAAATACAAAAATATAAAATTAAAAATAAGATAAAATAAGTTACGTGCAACTAATTCAATATTATAGACACACGAGTTGTTATTGTAAATATGATAATATGTTATTGGTTTGATATCAAATTTATGTTTTTTAATATTGTATTTAGTTTTTTTTTTCTTATCCTTCTCCCTTCCTATTTTTTCTTCTTCATTTCTATTATATGTTTCTTTTTTTATGTTTTTTTTTTTTTTTTTCTGTTATATGTTTCTTTTTTTATGTTCTTTTCTTTTTCTCTGTTCTTCTCTTTCTGTTTCTCCTGCTTCTTCATCTTTTCTTCTTCTCTCCCTTCATTTATTTTTGTTTTTCTCCTTCTCCTTTTTATCCTTTCTTTTTCTTTTTCTCTGTTTTTCTCCTTCTTCATTTTTTGGATTACCATGAAGGTCTGGACCGAAGTTTGCAATCTCTACAGGTCCGAAACCACATCATGTAATATTAGTTTAATCCTAAGCGTCACTTGATCATGTGATCTCTAAGCTTTGCATAGATCCTTTACCAGTCAAGTTAACGACTCTTGGTTACTTCTTCTTCTTCTTCTCCTTATTATCCTTCGTCTTCTTCTTCTCTTCCTCCTTTATGCCTTCTTCTTCTTCATCCATTCTCTTTCTTCTCCGTTCTCCTTTTCCGTTTTTTTCATCTTCTCTATTGGTCTTATTCGTCATCACTTCTCCTTCTTCTCGTTCGTTTTTCTTCTTTTCCATCCCTTCTTATTATCCTTTCTTTTCCTTCTTCTTCTTCATCACTTATTCTCCTTCTTCTCATGTTCTTTTATTTTTTTACTCTTTCTTCTTCTCTGTTGTTATTCTTTTTCTTATCCATCCCTTCTCTTTATTCTCCTCCTTCTTCTTCTCCTTCTTATTTGTTCTTTTTCTTCTTTGTCAAACAAAAAATGATAAATTTTAAACTAATTAAAAATAACAACCATATACATATACATAGTAAACAAACTGAAACAAAATATTTAACATATAAAAAATTAATTTTGACTAAAAAATATTGATGTTTGCAAAGATATTTTTTTTTTTGAAAATTTAAATAGGGGAAACAATTAGCCAAAACAAATTAGAGAAAATGAGATAATGTGAGCTACTGTTTTTATTTCTCTTATAGTTTATTGAAATACTATTATCATAAATATTTTTATTATGTTAATTATAAATTATGAAATTTTTTTTTTACAGTATTGATGGAAAAACGGATTTTATAGTTTTGACAAAAAAATGAAATTTTGCAGTTTTGGCAAAAAAATAAGATTTTATATTTTTGACAGAAAACGGGATTTGATAATTTTAGCAGAAAATGAGATTTTGTGGTTTAAGCAGGGAAACAAGATTTTACAGTTTTGACAGAAAAATATAATTTTACGGTTTTAGTAGAGGGATTGTATAATTTTGAAGAAAAAATGAAATTTTGCAGTTTTGACACGCAGAAACAAGATTTTGCAGTTTTGGCGGAAAACAGGATTTTATTTTTTTGACCGAAAAACAGGATTTTGCAGTTTTGGTGGAAAATAGGACGTGAGGTTTAGGCGGGAAAACAATATTTTATAGTTTTAGCAGGAAAATAAAATTTTACAGTTTTTCCAAAAAAAACAGATTTTTATAGTTTTAACTGGTTAAACGGAATTTTACGATTTTGGCAAAATAAAAGAATTTATCAAAATAAAAATAAAAACAAAATTTTTCAGTTTTGACGGAAAAAGTGTGTACTGGATAATTTAGACCACGACAACATTCCTAGTGTTAGGACTATAATACGCATCAACACTGGCAGATTTAGAAATGATTTTCATCCAGAGCAAAAATAAAACTATTACCATCTTATATATTATTTGACAAGCATGTTAAGTAAAAACAGTTGATGTGTCAAAAAGAAAAGAAAAGTTAGTGCATCATAATAATTATCTGGAAATGTGACATGTCAAATTTCTTAAAATAAACGAAATGGTTTGATTTGTTGAGTTAAAATTAAATAAATTATGAAATAAAAAATAAATACACTAGATTATAATACTAAAATTAATAAATTAAAATTAACAAAAAATGATAATTACTATGATTTCAATTTTTATATATCAATATATATATATATATATATATATTTATAATAGATTACATAAAATATGATTATAAAAATTGTACAGCCAATATATATATTCCATTTTTAGCCAATACTCTATATATTGTACAACCAATATCTTACATGATAGCCAATACTCTATATATTAATAATGTTAGGAGTATGATATATTATAATTTGTATATAATTTTTTAATATTTTTATATTGTTGTTTTCTTAAATTTACATAGCTTCTATTACTATTTCATTTTATTTGTTTTTTTTTTTAAAAAAAGTGTTTATATCATACTCATATACAATCTCATTATAGATCAAAATTTGAGATGACATATAAAGCAAAAAATAACAGCATGAAAAAATAAATTATAATAAGATGAAACAAATATAAATAACAGTAGTAGAAGTAAAAATAAAAATAAATCTCTATAGTTTTGTGCTCTGTTTTATGGAGTCATTTAAAAATTTGAAAAAGTAAATTTTATAATAAATGCATGTGCGGGTCAAGATTTAAAAATAACACACTCGTGCAGGTCAACCACAAGAAATTTTTTTTTTCATCAAACCAATTCTTCAATATCGGACGAAGAGATGCGCAGAGAACTACGGGAGAATTTTATAAACATGATTTCACAAATTTTATAACAAATATTTATTATAATTTTTATTGAAAATAAAATTTAATAATAGATTATCCAATATACTTTTTTATTTTTCATGATAAAGTCTAATATTATAATTTCATTTTTTAAAAGTTCTTTGTATTTTTTGGTAATATTTAATATAGTTTTTTATTTGAAACTGTATATCATAAAATGCTAAAATATAAGATATTTTGATTAAATACAAAACGATAGAAACAGTTTTCGTGATTTTTGCTAAATGCCAAAAAT